ACACACACACACACACACACACACACACACACACACACACACTGCATACAGATTACATACCACACACATCCCCAAAACCATACCCCACATATGCATACACACTGTACCATACCACACATGCGTGTGCATATACACACACACACCACTAAGAGGGAAAGACCCCTCCCTCTGACTCCGCATAATTCTGACCCTTCCCCAAGTTCAGGATTATCATTCTATAATTGTGGTCCGTTATCCTCCCTCCAACACATAATTCTAAAACTTTAATATGCAAATAGTCATCTGGAGAGCTTGCAAAAACGTAAAACTTTCAGGGCCTTCCTCAGATTTCTTGGCGAGGGCCCAGGAAGCTGCATTTTGAACAAATCCCAAGCGCTTCTGATGCAGATTGTGAGGGCTCTATTGAGAACTGCCTTCCTACCACACACCTAGAAGATGCTCTCGTAACAAGAGGTGACACATTTCAACAGCTTACCAGGAGCTGAAAACTTTACACTCATTTCATCTTTTCCACAAATGTGTGAAGGAGTTACACTCATACATTTGCCTATACTCATTTTACAGGGAAGGAAACCAAAGCCCAAAGAGATGAAGTAACTTGCCCAAATTACATAACCAGGAGGAACAGAGGCAGGGAGAGAGAGAGGCCAGGCAGATTGGTTCCTGAATTGCCCATCTGCAATTGGCTACCTCTTCACCCATTCACTCATTCAGCACACATTTAAGCACCTACAATGCACTGCTCTAGGTGCTAGGGATACAGCAGTGGACAAAAGAGACCAATTCTCTGCCCTCATGGTGCTGATGTACATTCTAGGGTGGACGGACCAAAAAAAAAAAAATCATCAACAAAAAGTGGGGACCACAGGAGGCAGGCCTTCTAAGGGCGGCGGCTTTTACTCTGAGCGACATGTGGAGCCACTGCAGGGGTTTAAGGAGAGGAGAACACAATCACTCTTAAATTTTAAAATAAGTGCTCCAACCGCTATGTTACAATAGTCTTTTGGATGGCAAGGATAGAAATGGAGAAGTTATCTCGGTAATCCAGCTGAAAAAAGAGGGTATAGCCGCCTAGATCATCGTGATATTGGTGGAGATGATGAGAACTGGTTGAATTCTGGATACTTTTCAGGAGTAGAACTAACCATGAGGAATTATTGGCAGATTTGAAATGGAGTATGCAAGAAAGAGTCATGTCAGTGAAGACTCCAAGGTTTTCACCCGAGCAACTGGTGAGAGAGAATTCCCAGTTAATAAAATGGGAAAAGCCGCAGGAAGGACAGAATGGGGGATAGGCACATGCAAGCAGGATGCAGGGAGGGGGCATAAATCTGGAGTTGGGTTTTGATCTCTTAGGCTGGAGATGACGATCAGCCAATTGAGGAATCCTCTGGAGGGCATTTTAATCTACATATGGCTTCAGCTCCACCCAGAGAGATCCCAATGAGCCACTCCTTTTATTTTTTTTTTATTTTTTAAAGATTTTATTTATTTATTTAACAGAGAGAGACACAGCGAGAGAGGGAACACAAGCTGGGGGAGTGGCAGAGGGAGAAGCAGGCTTCCCGCGGAGCAGGGAGCCCGATGTGGGGCTCGATCCCAGGACCCTGGGATCATGACCTGAGCCAAAGGCAGACGCTTAATGACTGAGCCACCCAGGCGCCCCAAGCCACTCCTTTTAGAGCACGGTTCTTCTACTGAGATCAAAACCCCTTGTGATGCTAAAGAAACGTGTCTTATCATTCAGGCATTTGAGCGGGGACAAGGTGGGATCTTCGGGAGTCATTTTTCAGTGTTCTATGGAAATGACTGCCTGAGACCCAAACTGTTACGCATAAAATAGTATTTATCTTTCACTGACGGCTTAGTGAAATCAGTTGGTTTCCCTGAGCTATAATTATAATGGCCTCCAGCTCTGCCTCTCTCCAAATTCTTTCATTCCTGCTGTAACATCTTCCACATGTCCTCAACTTTCATATACCCTTAGAACGGCTACTCTCACATCTGTAAGATTTTCAACCAAAGTACACTTTTTGAATTTGGACAACACTGCATTCGGAATTTAAAGATAAACAGATGCACTCTGTAAGATATTACTGACAATACATGCCTAAGGAATCAGAGTTGGGGGGAGCCTTTTGAAAACAGTAGACCAAATACAACAGTAGACGTTCTCTCTGCCCTGCTAAGAACTGGCCAGACTCATCTAGAAAATTGTACAGAACCATCACCTTTTGCCAAAGTTCACATGGCTATGCTGATTAAGCGGCAAGCAGATTATTTTGTTTAAATAATACAGGGTATTATTTCCTCTTGCATTAGGTCAGTGTCGAATGTGAAATCAGTGACTTTTATTGGTTTTTTTTTAAAGATTTTATTTATTTATTTGAGAGAGAGAGCGAGCACATGAGAGGGGGGAGGGTCAGAGGGAGAAGCAGACTCCCTGCTGAGCAGGGAGCCCGATGCAGGATCGATCCTAGGACTCCAGGATCATGACCTGGTTCGAAGCCAGTCGCTCAACCAACTGAGCCACCCAGGCGCCCACTTTTATTGGGTTTAAACATCATGATTACACAGTGTAAAGAAAGCAAAATCTGACACCATATGTATCTAGAAGATTCTGGCTGCCTATATGACAATGTGCCATTAGTAATGCTTTAACTATTAAAAAGTATATGTTTTATTTACTTTGAGGATTGACACCTTTCTGTTATATTTATATAAATTCCAGTAAGTGCAGTGAGTCCACACAGGGCATATATTTGATAAAAACCTGTAGCTAGGACCTACTTATTATAGGCCAATTGAGCTGAAATTTTAAAAGGATGGATCAAAACAAGATTTTGAAAAGAAATAGCCATTCTTACAAATTGCCACAAGAGGGCAATAATCTTACATTTGATTCCATTCTTTTAGGTTTCCATAGTTACAGGATTTTTGTCATAACATCAAAGGTACCAGGACCAAAATATTGCATGTTAGTCCTTTGAATTTGAAAAACAAAATGTGCATTTGCAGGTTCTTTATGGAAAAGACATAGAAATCTGATTTTTTCCCTTTATGTTCTTTAACTGAATTCAGTAAATCAAGAAAAATGAAAAATCTCCATATGTACTTGGTAATTTATAAAAGATGAGTCATGGATGAAATAATCTATTTCATATCCAAATCACTGTAATTGAGACAACATAAATTGTTTAATATTTAGTAATATCCTCTAAAATATTTCTGTCAGCAATTTTTGTTCAGAAGGTAAAATCAACATAAGAAGTAATAATTTAATAAATAACAAGAAGAACAAGAGTAAATTTATCCAACATACTCATTAAAGTCTAAGAACACCCAAATATGCTTATATACAATCCTGACAGTATTCCTAGACACACGGCGCATTTTTCTATTTGTTTCCTTTTGTTTAGTTTTAAATGAAAAGGTGTCTCAAGGCAGAGGTAAATTTTACTTTGTTAAAACAACTGAAGCTGGCTCTGGGTTCTACTCCTGATCTAGTCACTAAAGTTTCCTTATAGTTACTTTTCCATCCTCCTTCAAATGCCTATGCAGGATGAGTAGCAAGCTCTTGGTCTCAGGGTCTCAGGTCTACCAGAGCCCTTGGAGGGCAGGGATGCCTTCTCACAAATATGGTGTCCGTTTGGAAAACTGGAAAGCAAAGTGGACTACGTCCTGGGCAAGATGCTTACATGGTAACTTTGGGTTGAGATTTTAAGAGGAAGAGAGAGGGAAAAACGTCTCTTCTTTTTTCTGTCACTATCACACATTTGCTGTCACAAATGTCGATGGGCCCAGGGTACTCTTCTTAGCTGAAAGCTGCAATCATCTTGAGATCAGATAGAACAGTTTTATTACTGAAGGGCACGTCAATGTTTCCTTCTCCAGATAAGAAAACCAAGGCCCTCAGATATGAGGCATGGATTCCTGTTTGTAAAAATGTCTCCTTAGTCAAAGAATTTATTTAAAATAAGTAAAAGTCTTTTAGAACCAACAATAAGCGGATGGAGGCCTTTCACGCTCTCAGGCACCTGGCCTCCTTCCTCTGGCTATGTAGGTTTCAGAGTTCCCACACTTTCTCCCTTCTGCCTCTGACATACTTACTGCCCGAGCTTGACTGGAGGCACCACTTAGGCAGACTAGCTTGATTTTCCAGGCTGTTCCATTATTTCTATTTCCTAGCTTTCTTGAAGACCTCTCTGCCTAGCCCTCTCTCTTGGAAGACTCTTATCAAAGCCTGTTCTAGGGTCCACTCTAGCTTCTTCAGGTGACATTTCTCTGGAGACCTCAAGCACTACCTCCTTTCTCAGTGCCCACTCTCTTCCTGCATTTTCCTGTTACTTACTCTCTCAAAGAAAACAAATACACCTATCACATTCCCTAGTAGGAAGCTGAGCTAGCTTTACCTGCCCCCCTGGACTCTGCCGGGGACAGGAGTCAGGTGTCATGGCCTTGATTTTCCTAGTGACTGGCACACAGCAGACACTCAGTAATGGCTAGCTCCATGGAAAAGCCAGATCTTGAACTTAGGAGCTGACAGGATGCATTTCCAAGTTTCCAAACAAAAATTTAACAAAACTAAAATGTTGACTTGTTCTGTGCCCCAAAAAGTAAAACAAACAAGAAATAACTGAGATGATTTCACCTAAGTAGAATGCAGAGGAATGACATGGCAGCTTTATAAGGTGTTCACAAAATAAATAAGAGACAGCCACCTGTGTATCACCATTAGCGACAGAATGGAAGAAGTAGGTGTATTCCCAAGTTAAACATCAGCAAACATTCTTTGATAATGAAAGTTATGAGAAAGGAAGCAAGGCCCCGAGAAAGGATGAACTCCGCTCCTTGGAGATTTCTGAGAACAGACGGACCCTCCCACAAGCTTGCCGTGGGTTTTAGGTGGGATTCGGCTAGAACACATGAGCTCTTGAGGTGACTTGCAGTCTGTTGTCTTTGTGCAAGGAGTCAAGAGTTTCCACCTACTGAAATTTCTGTTATTCCATAAAAACACAAAAACTAACATCAGGAAGGAGTAGGAGCAGAGCTGGTACCAAGGGGCTAAGCATCCAGAGAACCCACGTTACCCATCCAAGTACTAACCAGGCCCGACCCTGCTTAGCTCCCAAGATCAGACGAGATCGGGCGCGTTCAGGGTGGTACGGCCGTAGATGAGAACCAACATTACCCAAACCACTCTTGTCACAACTTGGATGAAGCTACAAAAAAGCTTCAGACACCACTGTAGGGTATCATATCATAATTCCAAAGACCCTGGTCTGTTCCCGCGACTCTAATTTCAAAATCTGCTCAGCTTATAAACCTCAAAAGAGAGAAAGATCAGACCCATCACTGATTTAAAATTATTTCTTGGAGCGCCCGGGTGGCTCAGTCGTTAAGCGTCTGCCTTCGGCTCAGGTCATGATCCCAGGGTCCTGGGATCGAGCCCCGCACTGGGGCTCCCTGCTCCGCGGGAAGCCTGCTTCTCCCTCTCCCACTCCCCCTGCTTGTGTTCCCTCTCTCGCTGTCTCTCTGTGTCAAAAAAATAAATAAATAAAATCTTTTAAAAAAAATTATTTCTTGACATAAAGATTTTGATTACAGTGCATTAAAACTAACGGAAATAAGGGATTGAAAGAATGGGATGGTACAAAAAACTGGGGACACTTACTGGAGTCCGTGGCATGTGGACAATGCAACAAATGAAGCAGGACTTCCTCGGATGTGGCCCTGGTAGTAGCAGTGTTCTCCTCCCTGGAAACAGAAACAGAGCATTAGCCTCAGACATCACCAGGAGAATCCCAGCGTCATTTCACACGTTCCTGCCCACACCACAACTCTACGTATAAAGCTCTGCAGAATATTTCCTTATTCAGATTAGTGTTATCAAACCTGTTCTAACAGAATTATTCATAAACACTCCTGGTGAGCCAACTCCAAATCAAAAGCCGGGGAAATAAAAGTTGACTGAACTTGGCTTTTATGTAGGTGACGAGAGAAAGAACAAAGAAACAGATACTGAAACACCCATGTGGCCCCTGCATGACGATCAACTGAACCCTCTATTCCACCCCACCCCCACCCCGCATCCTGAGAAACTCAACCTTGGGCGGCACCAAGATGATGCTCTTTCATATGAGCTAAGTAAAAATGTATATAAATCATTTGAGAGTCACTAAATTAAACTGAGGGAGGAAAATGCTTATTTTTATAGTATTTATATCAAAACTTGACAAGGTTATACTATTCTGTTCTACAACCATGAACGGTTTTACCAGTAAGCAGTCCAGGTGGGGCTTGAAATTCCAAAGTTTCTTCTGGCAGCTGGTTACATTAATTCCCATGAGACTCATTTCTTTGAATTAAATGTTCTTGTAAGAGGTAATAGGGTAAATCCTCTGCCATCTCAGGGTGGTGCCTCAGTCTTTAAACACATGCCACTCAGAGTGTGGTCTAGAAACCAGCGGATACTGAGACTCAGGAGCTGGTCAGAAATGCAGGCCCCACCTATCCACTTACCATAATCGGCATCTTAACAAGGTCCCTGGTGATTCATATGCACATTAAAGTTTGAGAAGCATTGTTCTAAATGGCCTTTTCCATTCCCCCCACTGATCTCCTATTTCTTCAGAAGCTAAAAGCTGGTAATTCAACTGACACACTGAGATAGGAAAGAGTGAAATAGGAAGGACTAATAGAATGGGTGGTTTAAAGGGGCAAACGCGGCCAATTTTCCAGTCTGCCTTACGGATTAATCCTACCCCAAATATTCAGTGCTTGACAAGAGGGGAGAGAACAGGAGCAAACAGGATGTAACAAGGCTGAAGACGGTTTTTTCACTGGAATTCCAAGAAAGCAGCCTGGTCTGTGACTACTGTTTCTCATGAGATAAACCTACAGGATCGGGCGGACCCCAGTTCTGAGGAGGTGGCAGAGAACAGTGAAAAGGGCTCTGATCCTGTGACACCTCCAAATCCCCAAAGGAGTCACTTGAGCATCATGAACTGAGGACTGCAGGTGGATGTGATGGAGGGTAAGAAAGAACAGGGTGGTACTCCACCTGTAAGCCTGACGGGGTGTAACCCAGTAAACCACAGACTTCAGCACAGAAATAAAGCCAGGCACTGACTTTCTGGGTGGGGCTGGTTTGGTGAAGGTGTTAAAAGCATGAGCTATCAGCTCCTTCCTTTACTTGCTGTGCACTCTGAAGCAAGTTACAGAACCTGCCTGTGTCATCTGTCAAATGGAAGTAACAACTTCACAAGGTTATTCAGACGATTAAAAGAGGTAAAATGCATAAAGAGCTTAGAATAATGCTTGGCACTTAGTAAGCACTCAGTAAATGTTGGCTACTATTTTACTATGTATAGGACACCTGGGTGGCTCAGTGAGTTAAGCATCCTACTCTTGATTTCAGCTCAGGGGCTCAGGCCATGATCTCAAGGTCCTGAGATCGAGACCCTCCCCCCGCCCCCTTCCCCCCTCCTTGGGCTCTGTGCTGAGGTGGAGCCTGCTTAAGATTCTCCCTCTCCCTCTGCCCTTCCCCTCCTCGCCTCCCCAACCAGCTCACACACTCACTCATGCACTCTCTTGTGCACTCTCTCTCTGGCTCTCTAAAAAAAAACAAAAAATTACTATGTGTTAATTACTGTTCTATTCGATTTACATACACAATCGCCTTAAATCCTTACATCAATCCTATAAAGAAAGATTGCTGTCTCTCTTCTACATAGGAGGTCACAATCTCCAAGAGCCAAGCTTGCCCACCTGGGAAGTTGCCAAGCAAACTTTTTGTGAATATGTAAATGCAAGGCCTGTGTCATTTCTCCTACACTACTTATGAGTTGGGCCTAGAACCTATGGGGATTTAGTGCAAATCTAAACTTTCCCCCAGGCTGATTCTTTGGGGGTTTTGTTTTATTTTTTGAGAAGGGCTGGGAGTAAATTTAACAGAATTTAAAATATCCTCTCTTGGGGTGTTGGACTGGTGAATTGTCCATAAGATTAGATTCTAAATTAGAGGTCATTATGTTTCAAAAGACCTTCCTGGAAACATCTAATTGGACCAGAAATCAACACTCCAGCTTTCTATTTAGAGAGACATGAGGGGCCAACAGTCAATGAGGTAACTTGGATAGAGTAAGATTTCAGTGTGAAAATACTTCCCTCTACTGACTAACCAACCCCATCAGATCTCTTTCTGAAGTCTCAGACTCACAGTGGACAGCAGATATAAACACAGTAGCAACAAAAAAGATAATAGCAAGAATTATGGTACCAGATTATGGAACAACGGAAGTTGACAAGTCACTGTAAGTGGGGAAAATATGTCAGAGGCAAAGGTATATAAGAAATGTTTTATAAATTACTCAAATTTTCTTAAAATACCAACTTTGGAAACATGTTATATTAAATCATAAAAAGAACAAAGAATTCATGTTTTAAAACAATTGTCCAATATACCAGGACTAAATAGATGATTAAATAATGAAAAACAATCTTTCACTAATTTCTGATTCTGAAAAATAGGAGTGGATCCAAAAACAGCATATGATCAAGACCCATCTGCACAAAAGCCTAACACTGCAAATGAAGTGAGGAGTTCAAAATGGTTCACTCATTATCAAATGTTTCCATGACACTTCAAGAGAAGCATAAACAACAGGGGGATAAAAATCTCTTCAGTTGGGCTGTTAGAATTCCAATTTTGAGGCTCTCAACTGGTGGTATATGTAATTCTTCTAAATGATGGGAATTAATTTCTGTGTTGTGACTTTTTTAAGGGATTCACCATATGGCAATAATTATTTAAACCATGAATTAAAGTAATGAAGTTATTACATTGAACTTATTGATTTATTAATTATTAAAATAAATAAAATTTAATGGATTGTGAGTTTATATAACTTTTTATCCAGTATTTTAAAAATAATAAACGCTTATGGAAACATTTCGAAGAATTCAGGATGCACATGGTGAAGAGTAAAAAATACTCCCTTCATACACATTGTACAGCCTGCAGCTGACTCCTGAAAAGCAAGCATTTTTGACAGATTCTGTGTACCATGTCAGGAAGAGTCTATATGGTATATTTAAGGAAATACATAAATACACAGGTATCTGTTTCAGTCCACAAATGGGTTTACACTGTACACACTGTTCTGCCACTTGATTTTTTTTCTTAAGGTAACCTTGACATCTTTGCATATCAATATCTCCTTCTTTCCATGATAGCATAATATTCTGTTATAGGGGCGAACCATAATTCATTTAAACATCCCCGTGCCAACAGACATTTAGATTATCTCCATTTTTTTGGTCATCATAAAGAATACTTCAAACATCCTTTCACATATTTTTGTGCAATTCTGTCGATACATATGTAGAACACATTACTAGATGTGAATCTGGCAGGTCAAAAAATATGTGCCTTTTAAATTTAATACCTATTCTAAGAGACAAAGAAAATTATTTCTTGACCCTTATATCTGTTTTAAAAGATGCACTGCGTTTGAAAATAAAGAAACTGCATTTTACTAAAAATAGTATACTGCAAAAAAAGATCACTACTTAAGCCAACTTTGTTGAGTCTTATCAACTTATAAAAGTTCTCCATATCTTCATACAACTTTCTTGAGGAACCAGATGCTTTCTGAAAGTAGGTATTAATATATAATAATCTAAGACAGATGTAGGGAAAGAGAAAAGCCAGCAGCACATCCTAATGGAGTTCAGCTCTTTATCTGACTGGCAGTCATAGCTTCATTCCTTAAAGTCTCTTTTGTTCCAGAAATAAACCTGCTGTCATTGAAACCTTCTTCATACTCCTTGATTTAATAATACAATCACCATAGTACAGATGTTTATTTTTAGCTAATTAGATAGAGTTAAAAAAAATTACCCACCTCTCTAAAAATGAACTGTATGATAGTTCCAGTGTCTACTGGTTTATCTCCCTGGTGGACAAAAGTCTTATTGCAATTTTTATTCTAGGAAAGTTAAAATAATCATTTATTTGCAAAATTCAAAGACAAACCGCACTTTTATTAAAGAGCCAGAAAGATCTCAAAAGAAAAACAGAATTTATTACAAATACGATACACTGAAAGCACAAAGGAAGCTACACAGACTGGGTTATAAAACTAGAAAAATCCAGTAAAGGGAACCAATGGGAGCAGAGCAGCAAGGCCACAGTCATCTGCCCTCCATTCAGACCCTCAAAGGAAATTCTACAACTTTATCAGTTCCAAGATGAGCCAGGGCCACAGCCTCCAAAGAGCCTGCTCTGATTCCCTCCTCCTCACAACTTACTTCTCATTAACCTCTCTTTCTCTGAATGTTCATATACTATCAGATCTGTACTGTACTTCCTTACACTTGCATTCCTGTTTCTGTCTTACACCCTCCCCTAGCCTATGGTGTCTTTTCAGGGAAGCACATGTACCTAATCCATGTTTGTATCTCCGAGCGTGCTGTTAGAAAACTGTCAACCTCAGTTTCCTCATCAATAAAATGGGATTAATATCTACTCACGCTGCTAACAAGAGTACTCAAGGAATCCCATGAGATAACAAAGTCAAGTCGACTGTAAACTACTATATAAACAGGAGAGGGGTGCAGTCAGGGAATATTCTCTCAATGAGGGACTCTATCATGTCTCTTGAGCTAGGACTCTCTTAATTTATTTGCTAAGAGTAACAATTCAGGGCTGTTGATTAATAATGCAGATTACTATGTTTCTAGCCCTGAAAGTT